GAACCGGAGGCCAGGACCTCTTGTATTATTTCAAACACATTAGGACCAAGATCTAATTCAGGCCACATAAACATTAGAGAATGGAGTGGCTTCCGTGCATTAAAGGCTGAGATTTTCTCCTTGGCACCTTGGCAAATGCTTGAGCATCTACTTTGTGCCAGGGAACTGTTCAAGGTGCTAAGGAGAGGGAACTGAAGGATGTACAGAAAGTCCCTGCTTCCCAAAGAGGCCACAAAACCCCATCAGGTCTGGGTAGAGGTGCCGTAGAGATGAGCAGTCCAGGGCCACACGGTCCCGGCAGGTGCATCTTGGATAATGTCAAGGGCAAACTGCAGCCAGCTCTTCAGAGCCAATCACTAAACTTTCAGGAATTTTGTGAACCAATTCTTTTTTTTAATGTTTATTTATTTTAAAGAGACAGAGTCTGAGCAGGGGAGGGGCAGAGAGAGAGAGAGAGAGAGAGGGGGACACAGAATCCGAAGCAGGCTCCAGGCTCTGAGCTGTCAGCACAGAGCCGGATGCGAGGCTTGAACTCATGAACCGCAAGATCATGACCTGAGCCGAAGTCGGCTGCTCAACCGGCTGAGCCACCCAGGCGCCCCTATAAGCCAATTCTTAAATACATCTATTATTAAAGTTAAATGATATAAGCTTACAGTCAATAAGTTACATTTAAAAGTTATCATTACATTTAATTACCTATACTTGGGGAAAAAAAGAAATTTAATGAAGCAAGTTCTATTTAAAACTCATCACTTCGTAATTACTTTACGTCTGACAATTATCTAGGCTGGGGATAAGCATGCTTTTTCTATAAAGGACGGGATAGTGAATTTTTCAGGCTGAGTGGGGTATGCGTCTCAGCTCTGCCGCTGGAACACAAAAGCGGCCATTGATGTGTAATGTGAAGGGACAGGACACTGTTCCAAGAAAACGATACTCACCAAACAGGTGGTGGGGAGCTGGGTCGGCTCTCATGGCCGTGGCTGCCGACCCCAGTCTGTGCTCGGGTACTTATGTCTCTCATATCTGGAGGACGGAAATGAGACGCACGTACATGGAGTCCCGCTAGCCTCCTTTCCCAGATCCACCTGCAGAGACAGCACGCAGGCAGCCCGCGATCGGCCGCCGTGAGAGCATTCACACCACAAAATCAGCAAGCGCTACCGATCAGGGCTTGTTCTCTGGGTGTTAAACATTTGCCAGTGCGCCGTGGGCTAATGCGGTCCATGAAGAAGGCCTCTTTGAGGGGGTGGCCTCTGATCTCCTAACAGAGACCGGAAACTATTGCATCCTTCTACCGTGCAATGGTCCATCCCACCCAAAACGGGCGACCTACAGGGCACAGTTTCTAAAACATCTGAACAGAACAGCCCGAAGTTTGCAGAGATGGCCAGAAAGAGTAAAACACCATGCCACGATCTTAGGAGCAGCTCCGCCTCTCCCTAGCTATGTCCAGTGGGAGGCTAAGAAGCCACGCATCGCGGTCCATGGCCTGACCTCGTGTATTGCACAGGCTGGTGAGACTCTGCCGGCCATCAGCTGGCACCCACAAGGCTAGACCTCAGGGGTCTCATTCAAACACCTCTCAAAGTTGGTGGCGGGGGTGGAGGCGCTCAAGAGGACGGCCCAGGCAGTCAGCTTCCGATCTGACTTCAAACTCACAAGCTACTTTACAAGGCAGCATTTAAAACTGACTCGGGGCTTATTCGTAAGGGAATGGTTTGATGCATGAAATTTAAGAGCCTTCATGAGTTCTTAGGCAAGTAGTGAGGTGAAAGCAGCGGATACACCTTGCAAATTTCAGCTGCACATCCGTGATGGTCCCGGCCAGGCCACTCGCTCTCTTTTCATGCCATCCGGTTGAATGTTTGCACACCTCCTGGCTTGCCCCTCAGAGGCCACCTCCCCCTCCAGCGGCATTGGGCTCCGCAAACCAAAGCCAGCAGTTCACACAGACGTAGCCGTCCACAGTCCGGTGTGACGCTGCCCCCCAAAACCCGAGTCTCTTCCCAAGAACCCCTCGACTTCTCACCTAATCAGCCTGGTGTGTTGTATGGTTCATTTATGATGTCTAAGTTTACACACCCTTTGGAATGTTCTCTGAAGGAAACGAGCATCTTCCTTGTGTCCCTTTAGGGGTGTTTTTATTCAAGTCCTCTTCGTAAGTAGTGAAGTTCATTCTGCTTCCAAAAGCTTTCTCCTACCTCCAGAATGCGTCCCACACAGATTTCCAAGGCTCTTTCCCAAGAGTCTGGGCCAGATGCTCTACCATGTTTTTTCTACTTCCCCTTGGGAGCTTGTCCGAGTCCACGATCTTGGACTTTTACCGGAGCAGACAGGTCTACCAGGGAATGAGAAGTAGATCGCATGTCTCAAAAAACTCCGTTGCTCCTGCCAAGCAGCCCCCAACCTTGCCACAAGCAGGACAGACATAAAGAGCTGTGGAGAATGCCCAGTGCCTGGCCGGCCCCAGGCCAGAGTCTCATAGCTTGGGCGGCCAGGTGTTAGCGTGTCTAAAGTCTCAGTGCGTGAATTCGCGCGCAGCCAGCACTGGGAACGGCTGTTGTAGGCACGTGTCCACCCGGCGGGCCTTAACAAGGGACGACGTGGAGAGTCAGGCGAAGGGCACCGAGCCAGGCCTCCGGAAGGAGGCTTAGACTGGGCTGGTGGTTTTCCTGCCAGCCGGTCCGCTCTCCTCGGACAGGGACTCGTTTTCACTCGGCGGCCCCCACCTACCAGTGGGCAGAAGAACAGAAACCCCAGGAAGACTTGTTTTATCAGTACCTAAGGGTAGATACAAGTGCCCACGCATGCGGTGTCATGTAATCCCTTCTCCGGATTACACAGAAAATAAAGCATCTAACCGCCTCCTTGCCGCTGTGGGGGACAGGGACCCACGATTCTTCTAGTCAACGGCCTGGTCCCTTGTTTGGAGGTGAGGAAGCCCAGGAGGGCAACCTCTAATTGGAGTGGCTTAGAGATTGGCAGAACTGAGCTTTGATCGGGACCAGAGCTTGGAAATGCCCAGTAGCTCCGAGAAACTACCAGGCACCATGATGCCACGAGGTAACCCAGAGACTGTGGGCACATCGCCCAGAGCCGGAAAAGTCTGGCAGGTTTTCTCCATCAGCTGTACTGACGCCAGAGGCCGGACAAAGGTGTGCCCTCCCAGCAGACCCCTTCCCGGGAAGGAACCTTGCTCTCTGGCACCTGCCACCACGTTAAGAAGCTGTGCTCAACCCCAGCCGTCCCATAACCCGAGGCCCTTCCCCAAAGAAATCAAGGAAAAGGAACCATAAAAATTTAGTTTTAATGATACAGAAATAGTATATAGTACATTTCTTTCCACAGCAGCACTTCATTCGTCTCTAGAAAGTTTAACAAAATTAAGGCTAAATCAGAGCAATCTGATAGTAAAGGGATATTTTTACGTGGTGTTATTTTTTAAAGAAATGCCTTCATAAATACAGGATATTCTTCAGGCCAAAACTAAAATAAAATGGTTGAACAAGACACCAGATATGCGAAATGCAGTACAAAATGTGCTCCTTTATACCCATTTATGAATAACCTCAACTTCCCTGGGAAGTTCCAAACGGGATTCAAAAAAGAAAGAAACAAAGACAGAACATTTGTGACAGGACATTAAGACTCTGGAGTTAAAACTCGATGGTCCTACAGGCCATTTTACAAAACGAAACCAGGGACGGCAAAGTCTCCAACCTCATCCCTCCAGAGAAAGCACAACGCAAAAGTGGACGGTATTTAAAAGTGCAAGAGAGATCAGAGGCCTGGGTGCTTGGGAGGACAGCCCTGCTCCGTAGCGGCCCCTCCCTCACCTACGGGACAGCTTTAGAGATGAAAACACATGCGGTCCAACAAAAATGGCCCAGATCGAAGGCCAGGAAGCCACGCGGGCCGTGGAGTGACCTGCCACGGCCAGCCGGGACCGCGATCGGGGTGGGGCCGGGGGAGGAAGCTCCTGTCCCCGCGGCCCCCGCCCCCGTGCTGCCTGGCTGCTGCCTTCTGACTCAAGAGACGCCCTGCAGCTCGCCCAGGATGCGGAATAAGACGAAGGGCCCCTTTTCCTCTTTCCCCTCGGTGAAACTTCTGGAAGGATAATAGACCGGGGCAGTGTCCACTCCCTCCCTGCAGGCAGCCTCGCCCTCTACAGCCCTGGTCTCCCTGAGCGGTGACGCACAGCAGCTCTGTCTTCCCCGAGCCCCGGGTCCGCGGGGAGGGCTTGAGCGTCTGCCCCCCCCCCCCGCGACCGCTGGCTCCCGTGTTCACACGCTGTCCTCCTCCACGCGCCCCTCCTCCCCCTCGCTGAAGGGGGTCGCGGGTGTCTTGTTAACATCACTAACTGCGAGACAAGGAGGGCTTCTATTTCATTGTAAGCCATTAGACCCCACCTAATTCTTTAACAAGGACGTTCTGCCTCATGATAAGAGGCCCTAGGACCCCAGAGAAACGTCTTCTCGTATAAATGTTAAACTTTTCATCGTAAAGTAGCAGAGAGTGAGAAATAATGCTTTTCTTTAATGTCACACGACAGTTTTGTTTTTCCATTTCTTTGGTACCCAGAGCAAGCCTCGGTTTCCCCTAAAGAAATAAAATGGAAGACAAATGTTCAGGTAGACAACATCAGATACCCTCTTAAGATCTGTGTGTGCCCCCAAAGACTGCTAAAACCTCTAGGAAACAGTGGGTTGAGGTATATGTATACTAAAATGCATTTCTTACATAAATTCATAGGTAAACGCAGATACACAATGCGATAAACATCAACTACCCACATTTGTGTTAATGCGTTAACATTATACAACCACACAATCACAGAAAAACATTTTTTGAGATCTTTTAGCTCAGTAGTTTTCAAATTGGGCTAGCAAGCAGGCTCACCCGCTGAGTCTTTTACTAACAACTTTCCCAGGCTCCACCCATAAAGAATCAGACCCAGCGGGCATGCGCCGGACCTAGAAATCTGTATTTTTTCCCCCATGAAATTCAATGTTCCAACCCCCTTGTGATACAGAGGATGCTAAGGTCCAAAGAAGTCAAGAAGTCATCTCGGGCTAGCAGGGCCAGTGCCAGAGAAAGGGGTGGAACCCGGCCTCTGGTGTCCCGGCCCGTCACTTTTTCTGTTACTGTGTCCCAGAGCTTTCTGCGAGCCCTGTCACCCCTTAAGCAACCATTTGTAGGTATTCTGTCGTCAGAAGCAGGTGTGAGGCTGTTTGAAGGCAGGGACCACGCCTCCTATTCCTTCGGACACAGTCCTAGGTAATAAATGTCCCGTCGCTCCTATCTCTGTCTACCGTCACCAGAGCAGGTGCAGGATTATCCAGCTGGGTGTCCAGATCCCCCCGAGGAGGGGAGTAAAGCCTGAACTTAAAATGAAGACACCAAGTTCAAACCACAGGACTTTGAATGACAACACAAATTGCATGAGATTAATTACTATGTCTTCCCCTTGTTCCTGAAATATGTGTTAGGTGAAAAAATAAATGAATCCAAGGGACAGAAAGAAGCCATTTACCTATAACATTACCATGCCTATAGCCATACCTATAGCCATTACCTATAACATTTGGTTATAGATCCTACACTATTCTAAGGAGGTAATTCTCAGCAATGGTTACAACTCTATGTCACTGAGTTTTGTTACTGTTTCTCTTGGTTTTCAGTATGTTTTCTCAGTCTTCTAAAACATTCTTTCAGGATGGAGTCACACTGTAACTCCTTTATAAAGCTGATTGCGAGGGACTAAATACATTTGCCTCTACATCACTCCACGGTTCCTCTCTCTCCCTCTCTCCCCACTGCCCCTCATATATATACTTACACACACACACACACACACACACACACAAGTGTGAATTTAGTTGGAGGTCAGGGCACAGGACTTGTTATATTTTCTATTTGTAGCGATGAATCATAAACCATGTTATAAATAATTCTACTATATTGCCATCTTGATTTTAGATATGATATGGAAAAAGGGATCACCAAAGCATTTAAAAAGCCAACAGGAAAAATATTAAAGGAAATTTAGGGCTAAAGTGTAAATAAACAGCAGGTGCACAAGCTGCAGGTGCCACACAGCCACGCCCTGCTGGTGCCCACCTACCACACGGGCCATCCTGGGGCAGGGACAAGGAGGGGCACCCAGCGGAGCCGTCTAGGACCAGGGGCAGGGCCCAGCCCTCCGCAGGGAGCACTACGGCTCTCCCCCCTCCCTCCCCCCGGGTAACACTAAAAAGACTTAAAGTTCTACTTGAAGGAAATGTCCTTAGAAATAATTTATGGATGTGGCCCTGCCCCCTGGAAAGAGCCTCCATTCAGGATGGGGTACGGAGGAGACGGGGAACCCCAGGTGGGTCTTCTTCAAGTCCTCTGCCACAAGAGGCTGGGCGGGACACACCTTCTTGACCTTGCCTTTTAATTTTTACAGAAAAGGAACTTTCTCTTCTTTAAACTGTTAGATCCAGTCTTACCTAGATCCAGTCTTACTAGATAGAGATTCCTGGTCATTCCTTCAGATAACCCTTTAAAAAAATCACATTGATAAGCTCATTCAGCCATTTATTCACTCGGCACCTATTTACTCAGGGGTGACTGGATTTACAGAAGATCAGAGCCTACAAAACGTGCACCCCAGCCCCTCCCTTAGTACCCTGGGGTGGGGGGATGGGGCAGGAGCAGAGCCAGCCCTGCAGCCTGGGCTCCTCACCCCCAAACCCCTGATCCAGTGCCCGACTCCCCACCCCGCCCAAGCATTTAGTAAAACTGCATGCAGAATGTAGGTACTTTCTCATTTCAAAAATTAAAAAACTTACGGGACGAGAGCGCTGTTGTGCCTTACTACAATTTATAAGGCAAATGAATACTAGCAAAACGGAATGATAGAACCAAAGGTAAACGAGACTTTAAAAAAAAACAAAACAGTAATTGCAGGGTTTATAAAGACGCTTTCCACTACTCTTTGACACTGAATGTTTTATAAAGTCCTGTGTTACATACACACGACAGCTTCTCAGTCTCTCTGCACAGTCAGGGAGTCTTTCCAGAAGGACATGGTGCCACAAAACACCACTCAGGGAAAACACAGAGCACGGCACCTTCCACGGCAACACGGTTACACTCCACTGGGGTCTAGACACACGCTGGGGACATCGGCTGGGAAAACACCCATCTTCTCCATAATCGGAAGGAGGATGAGGCTGCTGCTAACGTTTCCATCAAACATCGTAACTGCCATCATCTCCTGCGAATCAAACCGTGTTTAGTGAGCAGACTGGCCGGTCTCACCAAAGTTCTGGACGGTCTTAGAACAGGAGAGGTCGAGGCAGCCAATACTTCTCTTCAGGGAGGTTTTAATGAGTAGTCTAGATTCAAATTTATTTTCTGATGGACCATATATTTGTGTAGAGCTATATTTATCACCCCAATCCTTTGATAAGATGCATTGTACCCTGTTCCATAAAATAGAGAGCCTTAACAAGACCAAAAAAACCCAGAAAAACAAAACAAAACAAAACAAAACCCCGAAAGCCCCTTAGCTGACAGTTACAACTACGAATGAAGAGCTTCGGTAGCTGTATATTCTAATCCCCCAGGAAAATTACACCAAAAACAGACGTTTTGTGACGAGATCACTTAGATATCTCCAAACCAGAACAAATAGAAAACAACACCGTTAATGGAACTGAAGCACTTTTCTGACCACTACTGCAGAAACACGGAAACTCGGCAGATCACTGACATGCAGGAACTATCTAGGAAAGAATTAACAAATCAAACTCAAGTACGATTTTAGTAACTGGATCGAAAGGAGACTCTTAATAAAACCAAAATAGTTCTTCCTCAAGGCAACTGTTAGCTAAAAGGAAAAATGATTTCATATCCTTGGTCCATAAAGAAGAAGACACATTTATTTACATTCTCAATGGACTAAAAGAGGTTTGAAACTGTCACAATTAAAATTTTATGCTTCCAAAAATATCATATGATCAATGCACTTAACTTAAAGCTTCAGGTATTAACAACTTCATTGAGACTTCTTAAAAAACCAACACAAACATACCTTCTAGAGTGCAAAATGCTTCTTATTAAATACTTCAGGAACACAAAAGCAATTTGTTTTTTTAAACACAGGAATCCTTTGCTGAAGGATCGTCACCACAAACACGTCCATTGCCGGCAACGGACGCGGAACAAAACCGCCAGCTCAGGTAAAATGCAACAGGAAAATCTTGCATTCGGTTTCCGCCCCTGCCCAGGTGACCCCCACTCATTTGTACAAACTCATCGTTGGACTCTGGTACATGCACATGTATGCGTCACAGAGAAGCCTCCGCGCGCAGCCTTGGATTCTTCTGGAGTCCAAGGAGTGCAGGTCTTCCGGAGACATCTTCAAGTACTCTCCCACTTCCGGGCATGGGGTAACCTGAGGAATGTTGAAGCCGTTCTGACCACCTACGGAGAAGAGGAAGAGTTCTACTTCGGGCAGTAAAGTTCTACACCCCTCTGCTGCTCTGCGCTCCCAATGCAATTTTACAATATTCTAAATTTGGTGAAGGCTGACTTTCAAGATCCAAAGGTGTGGTTTCACTTCTGACTTCCAAAAGTTAAAGCCACTTTTTAACCCTCCGCTGTTTTCTCATTTCTTGGATTAGGAGAGGATTCAAGGGCCAGCAGACTAAAACTGGTAAAAGGAGGCAAATCCTGAGCAAAGCTCTACCCCCGCCGCGCAGGCTTCTCTGTGCTCCGTTAGGGAGCAGTGCACATGTCCGCAAACACGCAACACTCCCCTCCCCTCCTGCACCCCGTGTCCCTTCCCGGCAGAAGCGCCCGACGCATTTCACCATGCGCCCATCCGCTTCAGAGCAGATCTAGAGAAATGAATACTATTGCACTTCCCTAAATTGTAAACCTTTGGCTTCACACGTCAGTGGAGTGAATGAGAGTGCTAGGGTGAAAGTGCCCCCGGCCTAGCCTCCCAAAGGCTTTTCCCAACGGGTCCCATCGGGGTGCCCGTCAGTTACAGGGCCCCTGGTACTGTACGTGCGCTCGTTAGCATCTGTTCAGTAATGCCCAAGCGTCCTAGAGGACAGCCTAGAAGGGGCAGCACGCTCCCCATTTGGGGAAGAAACACAGGACCTGTAGAATAGGCTGATTTTTCCAAAGAAGAGATTTACTTCTAGTCTTTGCTTTGTCATTTAGGAGACAACGTAGTAGAGTATAAAAAACATAAGCACTGAGATCGGAAAAGGCGGCATTAAACACAAACTATGTGACCTGAGGCACCTTAGCTGCAGCCCTAATGGCAGAGAACCAGGAGAAACCCTCCTGCGGGGACAGCGCGCCTCCCAGACAGCTGGCACAGGCACCTGAGAAGCAGCGACCGGGGCTCGAACGGAAAATGAGAGGAGCCCGAAAGCAAAAGAAGACAAAGCCGAAAGTAAAACCTCTCAGCCCTAAAATAAGAATTATAGGATTCTTTTTACAAAGATCACATGCATGTCAAAATATCACAACCATATTATTCCTTAATTTAGGAACTGGGCTGCCTGTGCATTTCAAGACCGCCAGGCTGCGTCACCGAGGCACTTCTGAAAGGCTGGTCACGCACGCTCTTCTGTCCCTCGGCACAGACCCCCCACTGTGAACTGTCCCAGCACAAGAGAAAACGGGGCCACCACAGGCAGAAGAGGGGGACGGGAGATACCATCGCGGTCGGCCATGCTGTCAAAGAAGAGCCAGGCAGAGTCGTCCTTCCCGTACTTCACGAAGGCGACATAGTGGCTTGTTTCTATGCAGAGGACGGCAAACAATTCCATCTTCTGGCAGGGGATGCAGCCGTGCCTCCAGTCCCAGTCGGGCAAGTCTTTGGGAAGTGACACCGGGTTATATTTGTGGTTCAGTCTCTTGGGATGCAGGTGGACCTGAAACGGAACATGAAGAGAAGGCTGCTCGAGAGCCGGACTCTGTGTTTGTGGCGATCGGGCTCCGCGTACTCCAACTGAACCCCGTCCCTACTACCGCCAGCCAAGGACTTTTTAAAAGGTCCCCCAAGTAAACAGATGATGCTTATGCAATCCCACCAGATTATGAATTCAAGTTAAAAATGATTCTGAGAACTTTTCAAAACCTGAAATGTCTCTGACTGCAGATAATCTCCGATTAGGAAGAGAAGGTCCAATCCGTGAAGTCATACTTACTTGGGTGTTGCAGGTTTTACAAAACTGCTTGATGTTTCCAGCTGAGATGTCGGGATCGTCATAACACTCTCTACACTCGTACATGGCCAGCCCCCCGCAGATCCGGCACTGTCTGGGGGCTAAAGCGGTAGGGGCGAGAGAGGGGTTAGGGGCTCTAAACATGTGCTCTTCCAGTAAAAAGATTAAAAGGAAAAGTTTATGCTTTATTAAGGACTTGCATTCAAATGGGTCTGTCCCTCCCTGTCCCTGTCAACATTATGCTGTATTTCCCGAGACAGAGCATATCTTTAAAGGCATTTTCTCTGATCAAGTGACAATTTTTTAAAAGCAGAGCAGGGGCGCCCAGGTGGCTCAGTCAGTTAAGTGTCCAACTCTTAATATCAGATCAGGTCCTGATCTCCTGCTTCATGGGATCAAGCCCCATGTCGGGCTCTGTGCTGACAGTGTGGAGCCTGCTTGGGATTCTCTCTCTGCTCCTCCCCTGATCACACTTTCTCAAAATAAATTCAAAATTAAAAATTGTATATGCTAGGGTGTTTTCACATGATTAAAAAAATGTCTGCTGATGAAAATTCAAAGACACAGCAAAGTATAAAGAAAACTACACACATCAACAAGTTCAGTTAGTAAGACATCACCACTGTCTACACTAATGTGAATTTTCTCCAATGACGGATTTATATCTGCATATCTACATAACCGTGCGTGTGTGTGTGCAAGCGCATGCATGTGTGTGTGTCTCCTCTTATAGAGAGTATCAACATACTTTCTTTTTCACTTAGCTTTACATCACGACCACCTTCTTACACTTTGGTCTTCATAAACATGAATTATAATGGCAGTCGTTTCATTGTACAGAGGCACAGAAATTCATTTCATTTAACTGCTCTCCTCTTATACAGATTGTTTCTAACTTCTTAATCGTGTGACAATAAATACATTTGCATAGAGAATACTTACTTCCATCTCTCACTATTTTCTCAGATTATCTAAGACTGAAAGTACTAGCTTAATATTTCCAGGCTCTTGAGATACTGAACTGCCTTTCAGAAGAGCTGTATCCTGCAAGACTCTGACTCATAATTAATGAGACTGGCCTATTTTCTGAAAAACAACCAAAGTGGGGCGCCTGGGTGGCTCAGTCGGTTAAGCGTCTGACTTTGGCCCAGGCCATGATCCTGCGGTCTGTGAGTTCCAGCCCCGCGTCAGGCTCTGTGCTGGCAGAGCCTGGAACCTGCTACGGATTCTTGGACTCCCCCGACCCTGCTCCTCTCCCCACTCACACTCTGTCTCTTTGTCTCTCTCTCAAAAATAAGTAAACATTCAAAAATTTTTGAAAAACAAAGAAAGCAAAAAAATCTTATACTTACTGTCTTCAAGTAAATCCGTTATATTTAATTCTAGAGAAGGAAAAATTTTTTTAAACAGTTTAAAGTCTTTTCCAAATCGAGGCATCTGAATAATGAGACACGATGGTGCCTAAAAACAAGATACATGTATTTTTAGAATCAAAGTGCTGGAAAAAATGTTCCCTATGAAACTGAAGCAGCCATGGCGGGCACCCGGGGCAGCAGTGCCACTGTAACATCGATGGCCTGCCAGCGGGATGGGGGCCTGCGAGGGGGATCGAGGACTGCGAGCCAGATCGGAGCCTGTGAGGGGCATGGGGGTCCGCCAGGGGGATCGGGGCCTGTGAGCCGGATCGGAGCCTGTGAGGGGAATCCGGGCCCACGAGTGAGATCTAGGCCTGTGAGCGGAGCATGGGGGCTGAGCACCAATGGGCCACATGTTTTCAGGATCCATTCCACAGACACCAGAGGTCAGGCAGTTCAGCAGCCCTAGGTCTCTAACAATAAGATGACAATTTAACGTTCCACTGTGGGTTTGTTTATATTTAAAATCAATGTTTTAGAAAGCTTGTTTTGACAAGTATAATAAAGAAGCCGTTGTCCCCGAAGGACACCATGCTTTATGTTTCAACAAATAACTGTAACTGTTCAGAGCTTTACCAGAACATTCTTTCAGAAATAAATGCAATAAAAATGAACAAGCATGTACTACTAAGATTATGAGGATACTCCGTAAACAGCAGAAGAAAAAGAATTTCTATCACTCACTTGTTCATTAACAGACAAATATAAGTGAATTTGTCTCTTGTTGAAGGAAAAGTAAACTTTCTTTTTGGATATACTTGGCTAATGTGCTTATGTAAAATATTAAGCTGGGTAAAATGAATGACAATTTTTAAAAAATCGTAAGTCTTCCCTTTGCTTTAAATACTACTTAAGAGTTTTCAAGTTACCAGTTAGTTTTATATTATTTTGGGCACCAAAAATCCAAAAGTTTGATCTTAATTCTACGACATTTTCTATAAGGACAAAACTGAAACTCTGAACTTTTTTTTTTTTTGTTTCGTTAACAGTCTGTGTGTTCTCAGTGGGGCGAGATGAACAGCTACCGAAGCTAGCAGTAGTCTTAAAAATGCTAAGGACTCTCACATAAAATACAATAACCACTAACCTCTGCAAACTTCAGGTTACTGTTGATAAAAGACCATTCTAACAATTGCTGAATTGTAGGAACTCCAACTTTCTCATTTTTCTCCATAAAAATTTGATAGAAGTAACAATCTTGGACTTTTTGACCTGCTGATCTAAAAACACACAGAAAAAAAAGAACATTTATTTACAAAATGCTTCAATGAGAACGTGAAGCTGCCCCAACAATATACTGAGGACAGAGGTCATATGAAGTGGAGGGTGCAACCCTAGGTAGTCAGAACAACAGGTGAAGGACAGTCATTTATATTCATGAATTAAATGTACTTTGCAGAAAACCTTAAAAGTGAGTTCCTATGTCAGCTGTCATATTCAAAAGTTCCCTCAGTGATTAGAAAAATAACGGACTACCATCTGCAGTCAAGAAGCACTGCGTGAACAATAATAACCAGAAGCTAATTTGGTTCGATGTAACCATCCAAATCTAAAAAAAAAAAATTTTAATCAACATTCCGTTAAGATGTTGAGTGTTTAAAAATTAAAATGCATTTAATGCTTGATACGGGAAAACAAACTCTTATATATCTGAATGGGGCAGACCCTTAGTGTCCTTCCAGACCTAACTTTTCATTGCTAAAATGAAGGTCTGGAGATCTAGGGAAGAATAATCATTGCTTCCCAGCAACATAAAGCAGAGCTACATGTGGAAACCAGAGGCCCCACCAGCCGCTTATTATTCCTTCCATGACAGCACTGTCTCCTTAGATGGTCACTCATTTATTCAACAAAAGGCAAGTAAGCCCCTTCCATATGCCAATCCGTGTCACCATTATATTAAACATTTTGCTTTTACATATTTTACTAGAGAATGATGTTACTCTTTAAAACTAAGTCTGCCTAAAGGATTATCTTTATGTGTATGATTTATCTTTTCAGCAGAATTTCTGGGTATAGAATCAGCCTATTTAGAGCTAGATTTCAAGTTTTTATGGAAAATTATTAACATAGCTTTCATAACAGAACAGCTATTCAGAGACAAACCTTCAGAACCCTCAACTTTCCAAAGCAGCTTATCAACAAAACTTACTCGTTAACAAAAACGGGAGATTCATGAGAACCCATAACAAGTAAAAACAAATGATAACCAAAAAACCTGAAGGTTATGCTGCTATCATTATTTTCATTGGTTGTTGATGACTATAAGAGACCGGGATTTTTCTGTGAAAGCGAAAGCATAAAGAAATTTAACAAACAGGAAGAAAAAATAAGACAGGAAACTAAGAAAGCATAAAGCAGCAGAGGTCAGTAGTTGTAAGAATTAGAAATAATAATGGTGACGAGGAAGGACAGTCATGGTTGATGGGAATCCACACTGAGAGAAGAGAACCAGAAATGAAGATATAAGACCAACAGCTTTGTGATATTGAGGCAGAAGGATTAGGAGCCTGGGTGGGAGCTGGGAAAGGGGGAAAAGAAACAAGCACTTAGTCTCATTACTATGGTTTTAGAAGGCTAAAAATCCTAGAGTAATTAGCTGGTCATTAAGACACACACATACAAGAATCACAACAAAGCTGGGGCTATTGTACGAAACTGCACAATACAGGTTGCTGTTTTCCACTAAGAAAATCTAGAAGCGGAAGGATACAAATGTTGCATTAACATTAGAATAAAACAGCCGTTTACAGAGAAGATGAAAAACAGTTGTGGAACTGTCTACCTTCATAACACAGACCTTAATGGGTGGCCACTAAAATTCTTTACAGATTCCGGGTTATCTAGCACTGTGGAATAGAATATAACCGTGTAATAAGAATACCCAGACCATGTTCTCTAATGAGAAGTACTCCAGTAACACAACCTGAAAATTGTCCCGTATCTTTGCTTCTTGTTGCCGATTAAAAAATTTTTTTAACCTTTTATTTCTGAGAGAGAGCATGAGAAGGGGAGAGTCAGAGAGAGAGGGAGACACAGAATCTGAAACAGGCTCCAGGTTCTGGCAGTCAGCACAGAGTCCAACGCGGGGCTTAAACCCACAAACCGTGAGATCATGACCTGAGCCAAAGTTGGACACCTAACTGACTGAGCCACCCAGGCACCCATTGTTGCCGATTTTATTCCATTGCTTTTCTTGGAATGCTTCACCTCGGTGCACTATCCTCTCACTAATGGCTATGATTTTAGTTTTACCTTCTCTTTAACACCCCACACAGAATTAGTCATCATTACCCCTACTATCATTATTATTGTTTTTTGACTATGAAGGCTTAGTTTACCCACATTTACGATCTTGACTCTTCCTTGTTTCTTGCATACTACTCCTTTATCCTAAATTTGGCGTGGTCTTAACTATAGTACATCCTGTGATAAGTCTCTGGGTTGGACAATTCAGTACTGGTTCTTCCAGCTCAGGAATTTTGTGCATCTTTCTTCTTAGAACTTAAGTCTGCCAAAAATTCTGGAAAACCTTCAGTTATTATCTATCAAAATATTGCTTCTTCCCCATTATCTCTACTGTCTCCTTCTAGAACTGCACTAAGAATCTGTCTTCCATGTCTTTTACCTTCTCTTATTTTCCAACTTTTTTCCCCTTTGGGCTATATTCCAGGTACTTTCTTCAGATCCATTTCCAAATAAGTGATTCTTTCTTCAGCTGTATATATTGCATTCCATGATGTAAACAGCCCCCCACCCATAAAATATATATACAGAGATATACATTTTTAAAACGCCATTTCTGGGAGTTCTATTTTTGTTTATTTAATAATGCTTGTTATCAAATCCTCATTTATCCTCCGAGGTAGCTAAGTCCTTTGCCTCTTCAATCCTCTAACACTACTGTGCAGCCTCTCAGACTGTCCCGCTATTTCAGATTTTACGGTACGCCTCCTCCTATCTGTTACATCAGCTGACTCCCCCTCAGAAAGGCATGTGCAGGTGAAGAATGACACTTGGAAAAGAAGGGCTAACATTTAAAGTCTCTTTTTATATCTTTTTATGATCTTTAAACCAGCGATTCTCCACATGAAGAGGCTGCTGAAGGGGAAGAGGAACAATGACCCCTTCAAGGGGTGTCGAAACTTCCCAGAGCCCTCTTCAAACTGCACAAGACCTTCAAGCACTGAGATGCACTCTCACATGTGTCTGGCCCTCCTTACCCCCTGAGAAGCACAGCTGTCTTCATCCTATGTTATTACCAGAGTCTATGACATCCCTAGGGTGTGTTGGGCTACAAAAAAAAAAGATAATTGTTCTGATCATCTGAACTTTATTTCAAGAAAAACAAAAGTGACTTTTTTTCTCCCAAATTGCCTGTTAGACTTCCTACATCATATATCAAACACAGCTTTCTTTTCTCATTTGTGTTTGAAAGCTGACTTATAAGATACTGAAGTTCTATTTTTGAGCTTTCTATTCAGGTCTGTTGATCCACATTTCTAGTTTTATATAGTATCGCACTGTTTAATGTCTATTGCTTTGCCTTGGAGCTTTTAATAGAACTCTTTTTAAAAAACCTTCAAACTTCAATATTTTCACCATTTCATCCTGTAAAGAACTCTAAAATCACTTTACTGAGTTCAAAAATAAGGTTAAGCTCTTGCTCATGTGCAAATTATTCTATAAAAAAATAATATCTTTAATTAATATTCTTACCTGGAACACAATCCTTCTCACTAATTAATCAAATCACCTTTTAGCCCTGTGCAAGTCTTTTAAAAAAATCCATCTCAATAAAATTGACTTCTTGGCATTTTGTACTTTCATGAAGTGTGAAAGTGTCCCTTTTTCATACTTGCTAGTAGGTATATAGAAATGCTATTGATTTCTCCATGATTATTCTCTATATGGTCAAATTACAAGGTCTTTTGTTAATTCCAGTAGTTTCTGAACAATTCTCTAGGATTTTCTAGGTGTTCATATAGCTATCACCATCTTTGAATAGATAATAAATATGTATTAGTGATGTTTATGAATCATGTCCTATTTCATTAGTTAGAACTTCCAAAACAATATCAAACTGTACCTGTGGTTTTGTCCTCCTTCCTTTCCTTCTTACCCGTCATCCAACACTAGCATCAAGCAACACCACTCAGGACCCAAGGATGAGCAAGAGTATTTGTCTGTGATTAGCTCTTAGGGAAGTAAATAGTAAATCAGCAAGATTTTCTTTTTTTTTTAATATTTATTCATTTTTGAGAGAGAGAGAGCATGAGCTGGGGAGGGACAGAGAGTGAGGGGGACAAAGGATCAAACAGGCTCTATGCTTTGGTGAGCCCGATGCGGGGCTCGAACTCACAAACAGTGAGATCATGACCTGAGCTGATGTCAGACGCTCAACTGACTAAGCCAACCAGGCACCCCAATCAGCAAGATTTTCAACAGAGAAATCCAAGCTATACTATAAGAGGTCCAGCATTTACATTTAAACCATCCAGAAAGTTCATCCATTTAGAATATCACACTAAGAACTAGGGTGCATCAGATTCAAGACAGAGGAGAAAAAAAGGTAAGTTACAAAACAGGGAACAAGAGAGCTACTATGAGGCTAACTTAATTTTCTGAGTGATGGATAGTCAAAACAGTGGTCTCGTGGTATCTCATTGGGTTAGAATAATATTCTCTTACAATCTGTAATTTCCCTTAGAACCTTTCAGTGACTAAATAAAATATTTATGTTCAGTTTTATAAGAAAATGATTTGCAGTAATATTTACCACCAGGGTTAAAATTAAAAGTACGCATTTATACTGGATTCATTCTTCCAGGTAAGTATGATACTATGGCAAAGACAATGATTAAATTAATTAAATTATTAAATTAATTTGCATTGTAGGAACCTAGCATATTAAGATTCCTAAACAGATACAATACTATGTAATCACTAAAGAAATCATTTCTATGGAATGATGGTAGAGACAATGAAGACTGTCTATTTTTTTCCAATGCTTCTGTAGTAATTTAGAAGTTACCTTATTTTTAACAACGGTTCTACCCTTAAAATATGATGAAATAGGATATTCAAGAATTCTTCAGGATCTAGAAAAAACAAAAACTCAAATAAGTCACAGCCAAAAATTTTAAATCATTCTTTTTATTTATAATAGTTACATTCTTATTCTGAATTCTTTTTCATAATCAATATTTTTTTAATTAAAAGCATAGTTCTCAAGTTTTCCTGCCTATGAAAAATATAAAGGATATTTAAATAGTTATGATAAAGTACAACAGTCTAATTTTGTTAGAACTTCACTGCATATGAAAAGGTGCAATAATTCCTGCATAATGAAATCATTTTAACTTCTTCTGAGGGGTTAAGTAGAATAAATTTGGAAATGTAACTTTGTTTTCTTCCTGTTATTTAACTAATTATCAAGCCTCTAAACATTACAGCTGGTTACAATATGCTGCTAACATGTTCACAGTCAGGAGCTGAATCTCTGAGCAAATCCATCAGCTATGAATAGATTAAAACATGGGTTTTGACCATAAGCTTCATTCCCGTTAGCCATTCTGTAACTCCCTTTATAACCAGGAAAGCTAACTGGAAAAATGGGGATGGACTCAATGCAACCCTTCAGCACAGAAAGGGAAACGGTGTCAAATATCGTTGCTGGAAGGAAAGAAAAAACTATTTATTCACTTAATGTACTACCACCAGGCAGCTTCCCCCACATCACTCACTTCTAGAAGACGTAAAGCATTTTACAAAAAGGGGACAAAACCACACATCACACAGAAACTAATATCACACTGTAAGTTAACTAACTGGAATTTAGACAAAAACTTTTTAAAAATGTACATCACATAGAATGGAATTTCTAGTTTAGAAATAAAACCCCCAAAGCTACAGAGACACACATTTCCACCGATAATGTAACATATGCTCTCAAGTTATTTTTAATGAGTATCCTATAAATTAAGAGTCACCTTTTTCTTCAGAGGTAAATCCTGATGCAGCCTCAACTTTTTCAAGTATTTTCCTCAGTTTCATAATCTTTGTTGCACACACGTATCCGTATCTACGTTAACAACAAACCATGAATTAATACTGGCATATACATTAGTGTAACACATTTTGATAATCGCATTCTTATGGAATTCCGACATGTCATACATAAATTAATAGGTTAGATAATTGTCTTGAAAATCACAATTACAGGCTACTTCTTGATGCTTGGAAGTTAAAAATCTAGCATCAGAATTATCCCAGACACTAACTACTATGCCTTAAAAATAGCTGTCACATACTAATACAGAAACAGCATTTTTAAAGTACCATGACTGGTCTTTTATTTATTTATTTATTTATTTATTTATTTATTTATTTTTAGTAAATGAACAAATCAGAGGACTTTAGATGCTGGCGAGGATGTGGAGAAATGGGCACCCTCCTACACTGTTGGTGGGAATGTAAACTGGTGCAGCCCCTCTGGCAAACAGTGTGGAGGTTCCTCAAAAAATTAACAATAGAACTCCCTATGACCCAGCAAAAGCACTGCTAGGAATTTACCCAAGGGATACAGGAGTGCTGATGCATAGGAGCACATGTACCCCAGTGTTCATAGCAGCACTCTCAACAATAGCCAAAACATGGAAAGAGCCGAAGTGTCCATCAACTGACGGATGGGTCAAGAATATGTGGTTTATCTGTACGATAGAATACTACATGGCAATGAGAAAGAATGAAATCTGGCCATGTATAACAACATGGATGGACCTTGAGGGTGTTATGCTGAGCGAAATAAGTCAGGCAGAGAAGGACAAATACCGTATGTTTGCACATATAGGTGAATTAGGAGAAACTTAATGGAGGACCATGGGGGAGAAGAAGGAGAAAAATAGGGAGAGGGAGGGAGGCAAACCATGAGAGACTCTGAATGCTGAGAACAAACTGAGGGCTGGTGGGTGTGGGGAGAGGGGAAGGGGGGTGATGGACATGGGGGAGGACACATGTTGGGATAAGCCCCGGGTGTTATATGGAAACCAACTTGACAATAAGGAAAAGAAATGAACTATAAAATTTTCAAGAGAGAGACAGAGCAGAGAGGAAGGGAGACACAGAATCCGAAGCAGGCTCCAGGCTCTGAGCTGTCAGCACAGAGCCCGATGCGGGGCTCGAACCCATGAATTGTGAGATCCTGACCTGAGCTGAAGCTGGACTGAGGCACCCAGCCCCCGCACCACCACTTTATGACTAGTCTTTTAATACTATTTGCTTAGGAAAGCAAATCATTTAAAGAACACTTAAAGAGAGAGTCCTTTTAATAACAAAGGATGAAAAAAGCCACCAAAGGGTTGGACAGAGGACACTGGTAAGAAACTGAATACTGAAAATGTGCAATCAAGCCGTCATCACGTGCCTGACATTTTCTCTCATCTTCGGCTGAATCCAGGACACACTGGATACATTCAAGGTTAATCCCAGACAAAATTCTATGCTAAAAATGCCTTTAGAAGAAACCTTCTAGGCCACCACACACTTCACAAGAGCAAGTCGGAACTAGCTAATCTAATACACATTTTGTATAGTGACTGTTCATTCACTCAGCAACCTTAGCAACCAACATATACTGGGCATCCGCCACTCACAAGGTCATCTAACCGGTCAGCCTCTGGGAATACAAAATGAGTAAGGTGGGGGAAAAAAGGGGGCGGTCTCTGCCTTTGAGAAGCTTGAAATAGAGAAAGCAGGGGTTTCAGCACCAAATAAAACCAGTCAGCTATAATCGAAATACAAACACTGCAGACAGACACAGGGAATCCTGATCACAACAAGGTCCTTGCTGCGGACAGGGTGACAGAGTCTGGTTAATCGTGATTCTCAACTGGATGGACAACAGTATCCAAGTAATGTCTATTAATGGACTTAGGGTATCTGGGAAGGAAAGAAGGGAGTGGTAACATGACCCAGGGTTTTGGACTGGATCTGTCTCATTCCGTTACCAATTACTTGGGGGAAGAAATGGACAGGATATTTAAAAATCTGCAGAAGATAAAATAACTGACGTAAAAATCCAGACTCATAATTATCTTAGAGGGTAGAAACTAGAGTCATTTTCATCATGATAGGATGTAAAGAAAACAAAAGATAAGAGTAGGGAAAGTTATTCCCTTATAATTTACTTTCTTAGCCATGTTACATAGTAGGCCATTCTGAATGCCCTTTATAGTCTAATATTTTGCATTTTTTCATCAAACTCTTACATCAAACTTTTAAAAGTTTTACTTATTTATTTTGAGAGTGAGAGAGAACGAGCAAGTGAACATGAGTGGGGGAGGCGTAGAGAGAGGGAGAGAGAAGAGAATCATAGGCAGGCTCCATGCTGTCAGCTCGGAGCCCAATATGGGGCTCAAACCCACAAACCGTGAATTCATAACCTGAGCCAAAATCAAGAGTCAGACACTTAACTGACTAAGCCACCCAGGCACCCCTCAAACTCTTTTTAAATTTTAATTATTAAATAAGAAAAATGTCGCAAGATTTAAAAATTTATCTTAATGTGGACTTTAAATTACATACTTGGTTCTCTATATTCCTGAGTGAACAGACTTCTTTCATAATCTATGGCCCTAACGTCATAGTTTAAATTTTATAATGTGACACTATCACATATCACTACTACCACCACTTATCTTTACTTGACGTCTTATTACCTGGGCCCACATCATTACAAATTGCTTACAGGACCAAAGACATATTTATAATTCAGAATCTAGGAAATGACCAAAACATCACTTTCTTAAGGAATGTGCAGGGAGGCCTAAATGTATTCCTCTCACCAAGAAATGTATTAATAAAATACACGTCATCCGTTTCTAACACAAGAGTATTCAATACAAGCTATTCTACAAATTAAAATTTTCCATGGGGCATCTGGGTGGCTCAGTCAGGTGAGCATCTGACTCCTGATTTGGGCTCAGGTCATGATCCCAGGGCGGTGGGATCGAACCCTATGTCAGGCTCCACACTGATTCTCTCTCTCCCTCTCTGCCCCTCTCCTCCATCAAGCCTTCTCTCTCTCTCTAAAATAAAATAAAAAATTAACTAAAACTTTCCTTTGCTCCTTTTTTCCCAGACAAAATTAAGTTTAAGAAGCCAGACTATGCCAACTGCACCAGAGAGCGTATTGTTAGGGTTACTGCCGGAATAAAGCTCGAGCAGAAGACAACGTACCAGGTGCTTTGCATCAGCATTTCGAACCTACTGCCATGACTGAATTCTACTATGCTCTACCAAAGTGGTTTCAGCACGTTATGGCATACACTATGTGCTACACCCTGAACAGATTTGAGAAATTAAATATGTAAAGGCAGTAAAGGTTAAAGAATTATAAATGCTGGGACGGCTGGGTAGCTCAGTCAGTTAAGCGTCTGAATTTGGCTCAGGGCATGATCTCATGGTTCATAGGTTCGAGCCCCACACAGGCTCTGTGCTGACAGCTCAGAGTGGAGCCTGTTTCAGATTCTGTGTCTCCCTCTCTCTCTGCCTCTCCCCTGCTCATGTTCTCTGTCTCTCTTTCAAAAATAAAGAAACATTAAAAAAATTTTTTAACTGTAAATGGTTTATCAAGAGAACAAATTTTCACCCATTCCTTAAAAAATGAAAGCAGGTATGAATCCATTACTGTACCAAACAACAGAACACAGGACACCACCGAAAGGCGAAATGACTCTGTGTCTTCTACTTACATTCTCAGGGGATTCACAATTTCTGTCCTCAGTAGCTCCTGCGTTTCACTATAATATTCCACATCATTCTTTTCTTTAGGTCTAAGTAATACAGTATCCAGGACAGAACTAAAAGCAAACAAGCTGTAAAATAAAAGGAATAGCTGTCCTCGTGCTGTACACAGTACTTTTTGGGAAACAGATACTAAAAAAATGTCATGAGAAAAAAACAACCACGTCTGGAGAACGAGGAACATTACAAATTTGTGCGTTCCGTGGACACGGGTACCAAAGACACCTGCTAAGGTTCCTGTGGTTCAATCATCAGGGACTGGAGATGCTCCCAGGTTAAAAAAAAAACCAATCTTGAGAAAGCAAACTGTAGATTGCCCATTTTAAAGGATAAAAATAAGCCTCAAGTATGTTAAGGGAACTTCTTTGCAAGAGCTGCAAAGGGGCCTACAAATCTGAGTCAAGGTCAGACACAAGACAGAGGAGGGAGTCTGCAACTACTCAAGGCACTCACACGTGCAATGCGCAGCCCGCCGGAAACACACTGCTCTCTCCCTGCACGCTCTGCAGAGATACAAATTTCTTTAAATGCCAAATCACTTGTGAGTGACTGACAGCGGTGACTTGCTGGGAGCAGAGGAAACGGAAATTTAGCTAGTACAGATTTGCATCAGGAAATCTGGAAAGTACTGCATTGATTCTGTAAGGCTTGTTTTTGTCCACACACCTAAGAGACGGGCAGTATTCTGCCAAAACAGCCCACTGTGTTTATTCTCCCTGATTTTAAAATGTTAACACCCCAATTAACTTCCTAATTCTTACGGCGTGGCTGCATAAGGTTTTATGCCACTTACGCTCAACTTAATTGGCAGCGTATTTGGTTCAATCTCAGTGTAAAAACTCTTGCCAAGTTAAGTCGTTGGGTGCTGCCATGAACTACGTATATGAGAACCTTTACATCATCCTTTACAATAAAGCTGCCTTACGATTGCCTCCACCAAGGAAGCAAGCCCACACAGCAGCCAATGACTTATTGCAAGTCATGTTGTTTGATATGTGACAGAGACACTGTACTTACTGTCTTCAGTCAAATGATTTCCCAGACACCCTCAGAATATCTGTCCCACCTGTGACACTTCATTCTTGCCCGTCCTTCACCACGTTACCTTTATATTCATTTTTTGGATACAAGCACACGAGACCATGTTCGATAGCTTCCAAGGGTCAATAATGAAACGTAAATCTCCCTTTTTTTACTGTTCCCCAGCCACCCAGTTTCTTCACCCAAAGGCAGTGAGTGGATTCTCTGACGCCCGTGCACGCATGCACATGCGCGCACACACGTCTCTGCCCCTATTGCACTGATTTTAAACTTACCAGAATAAGGTCGAGTCTAAGTAACAAGAATTGTAATGACCCTGGATGCCCTTCTTCTTTCCAATCATTATCTCTAAACCTTCTTTTTCCATCTTGGGTGGGGTATTTTCTTCCACCACTTCACTCAAGTAGCCTCCAAATGCTGCCAACATAGAAATGAAAATGAAAAGTATCCTTTTCGACTACTACGATATGTAGTATGTGTTCTGATATATTTCTTCCTTTTAAAATACAGTTTTGTATTCTGAGGCAAAATTTCTCAACTTAAAACTAAGTTAAAGGTGGGTTTGGTTTCCTGGTTCTTCAGCTTGGCTAGTAAAAATGCTACTGTTCATACTGTCCATTTTCAATCTCACTTCTTCACGACTTAAATTTTTAAAAAATTTTAATGTTTACTTATTTTTGAGAGAAGGGGGTGGGGCAGAGAGATAGGGAGACACAGAATTCAAAGCAGGCTCCAGGCCCTGGCTAGCAACACAGAACCCAACGCGGGGTCAAACCCACAAACCGTGAGATCACGACCTGGAGGAAGGGGCCCCACTTCCTCCACCATTTAAAAAACACCTTAGAGGGGCGCCTGGGTAGCTCAGTCGGTTAAGTGTCCGACTTCGGCTCAGGTCATGATCTCGCAGTTCATGGGTTCGAGCCCTGCATCGGGTTCTGTGCTGGCAGCTCAGAGCCTGGAGCCTGTTTCAGATTCTGCATCTCCCTCTCTCTCTGCCCATCCCTCGCTCATGCTCTGTCTCTCTCTGTCTCAAAAATAAATAAAAACTATAAAAAAAATGTTTAAAAAACACCTTAGAGTATTAAGTAGTGTATAAAAACATCTGCCAAGTAAAATATTTTGTTCCCCAAATATTTTATTGTCTGAGATGCTTCATCTCCAAGTCAGAAAAGAAAACAAAAATTTCCAAAGTACTACTTCGACTGTAATGAAAAACGTTCTTCATGAAGATGGCTTTCCTACTGATAGTCACTTAAACCTCAAGATGCTTCACAGCTATGACCCAAAACTGGAAAGGGATAACATCAAGAAACTGTCACCCGTTACAAGTGACGGGGGCAACTGTCCTTATCGATCAATCTAAAACTGCTTCATATAATAATGCCGACCTCTTAATCAGATATGATGATTGATGTGCTTCTATAATACATAGGGAAGGTAGTCCACTTCTACCTCTGTGTTTTGAAAAATTAAATGCGGGCAACCAACAGGCTAATACTTTTTTCAAAGGTCCCCTCTTGGGACCATTGTCACTTTCTTAGACACCGAGTAGCAACTTGAACTGAGGTACAAGCCTGATGAACGTTGGCCAGAAAGATACTGAAACGCTGTCACTGCCACCGACTGCAAAATGGCCTGAGATCAGAACCCGAGTTACTGCAGATCTGTACGGAAATGAAAGCATCCAAATACCTAACGAATTGCAGCGCTCGATCTGATTGGAAACCGGCTGCAGGGAAGCGAATCTCGAGTCTGGCCTGCAGCTCTTCAGCTTCACAAAGAGCGCCTTCTTCAGGGCACAGGTGAAGTACCGCGTGCCCCTGAAGGTGCCATCTGTACAGCCCGCACATTCGTCCTCCTGAAAGAGAAACGTTTCGATACGTGTTACCCTGCACCTTGTGGCGCAGCATGCACAGAACTATGGCTTCTAAGAGGGGCTTCCGGTCCACCCTTTCTCAGAATTCCATCAGCATGCCTGTCCTGAGAACCCCATCAGGAAGGAGAGGTTGGCTAAGCAGTGCTTGAGCCCACAACGGATCATTTACGAAACTCCTTACTCCAGCAGGAAGTCCTCAGTGCGTTCCCTTCCAGAATGTATGCTTGGACTTTCCCCACACCATCTCCACGGGTACTGAAACTAAGGGGTGGAGCCTGTTCATTTTGAGAACCTCCCCCAAAGTAGCATTCACTAGCATGCAAGCAACTTTTTACATATGTTTACGTTTTATAAATAAAAGCTAGGTGTATGCAAATTATCTTCTCCAGATCGTGAAATGCTGAACAATATTTCCTCTACTAAGAGCTCAAAACAAAAAAAATCTCTAAAAATGGCAATTAATTTTAAAATCTCTGATATAACTACTAGAACTGACTGGGGGGGGGAGACTGAGGAAGAAAAAGGAAGCTGATAACAGATTTGCTTCCCTTACTCTATGCTGTTTAATATAATGGGTCTAAACACGTTAGCCTAAAAATCTATTTTCATTCCTTGCACACAGATGAACTGACATCCTGAACACATGGACCGGATGCTTCCTGGGTGGCAAAGAAGCCAGACAACACAGTAACACAATTTTTCTCTAGTGATGGCTTTTTTGGCGCATAGAATATGTGGACGAAAAAGCATAAATGAGGGGGAAAAAACTGCGCAAAACTCCAGATAGAGAAGAATTGCAATTTTTAGGTCAAATTAAATTACCAGTTCCAGCCCAGCTAGCACTTCATTGAGTCCTGGCGGCTGACCGATCCAACGGATCACCCCATAGAAAGGAGGATTCTCTTTAACTTCAGCCAGCGAGCCCACTTCCAGACCATGGCAGTTCCCAGAAGCCATGGCCAAGGGCGGGCTCTCCTGCACAGGTGCGTTGTTTAGCTCTCCCATCACGGACTGAACTGACAGAGAAAGTGGACTGTGGCCAATACTTCCATTGGTATTGGGCATCTTGGTCAGACTGAATGGTAAAGAGTGAAATCTGTTCTCGGTGGATAATGAGTTCATCGACGGAGGCTGCAGTGGTGGTGAGGCATGGCCAAAGTCTGAAGATATCTCAGTAAGCGATTTCGCAGGGTCTTCAGCAACTATAAAAAAATTATTCTTATTTAGCGAAATGTATTCAAGAGTATTAAATATGCCCACATCTCTAAAAATGAATATACACACCTAGTCGAAGTGCCCATTTGAGTCTAGTAGGATTCTTGTAAGCACTGCACACTTAGTCTATCCAAAATAGTGTTCTACATTCTCCTCCCACCTCCGAATTTTTCTACCCAGGTAAATGGCACCCAACTGCTCAAACCAAAAAAAAATCCATTACTGGTTAGTATTAGAGAGGTTCTATTCTTTGTCTATATTATAATTAAGTTAGAAAATAGTACCCAAAAAATACCAAAAATTTAGAAAGATGCTTTTTTTTAAAAGTTTATTTATTTTGAGAGAGAGAGATAGCATGCACACAAGACCAGGACAGTGGCAGAGAGAGAGAGGGAGGGAGGGAGAGAAAGAAAGAGAGAGAGAGAGAGAGAGAGAGAGAGAGAGAATCCCAAGCAGGCTCCATGTTGCCAGCGCAGAGCCCAACACGGGACCTGATCCCATGAACCGTGAGGTCATGACCTCAGTGGAGACCAAGAGTCAGATGCTGAACAGATTGAGCCAGCCAGACGCCCCAAAAGATGCTTCTTAAATAGCTAAAGGATCAAAAAGGAAATGATTATGTACATTTTTAAAATAAAAGAAGCAACAAACACTTGCGGAAGTACAGCTAACACAGGACTTACAAAAGAAATTTATAAACTTAATTGTTTCTTTTAGGGAAAAAAAAGAATATTAATGAACTCAGAATACAACTTAGGAAGTCAAAGGAACAGATTCACTTCCCAAAAAGTCAGCCAAGAGGAAATAAACACAAAACAGAAATTAATGAAAGAGAAAACAAATGTACAGTAAAGAGGATCAAAGCCAGAATAAATACAAAAGCAGAAAATAATTTAAGAGAAAACAAACACAGAGAAAGAGAACCAAAGCCAAAAGTTATTTTCTTAAAATAACTACTACAGTTGCCAGCCAGATGCTGCAGATCAGTGGAGAAAGAATGAACTTCTCAATAAATAATACTGAGATCATCAATTACCCATACTTTTTAAAAAGTTAAATTGGATTTGTACTGAATATATTCTACACAAAAATCGTTTCCAGGTGGCTTAAAGACAAATGTGAAAGGGAAGGCTATAAACTTCTGGAAGACAATATAGAAGAATGTTCTTTAAGAGTTAAGAACAGAAAAATTTTCTTGAACATAAGTATACAAATCATAAAGGAAAAGACTGACAAACGCGATCACATTGAAATTGAGCTGTTTGTTCATTAAAAGGCATCACAGCAAGGATGAAAATATGAGCTGAACAAGGAGAAAACTTGAAATACATATAGTTGACAAAGGATTCAAATCTGATAAAAGTCTATAAATCAATCCAACCCCCCCAAAAAGAAACCAACTAGGAAGAAATGGACAAAAGTCTTGAAAAGGCAATTCAGAAGAAGATACCCAAATCACCAACAAATCAATGAAAAGATTCTTGCCCTCACAAGAAAGTAGATCCAAGAATGTCAAAAGCAATGTGAGATATCATTTCAAAAGTTAAAGGTTTTAGAATATTAACTGTTGGTAAGAATGAGGGAAAGGGTACCCTGACAAAATGCCGACGGAAGAGTAAACTGGAATAATCACTCAGGGAACAGTGTGGCATGATCTAGTAAAGGAAAGATGTGCGTATCACATGACCCAATAATTCCATTCCTGGCTACACAGCCTCAACACTTGTAAGAAGGTTAACAGCTGAGCTGTTAATCATAGCAGGACAATAAACACAATTCAAATGTCCACCAATGGTCGGAGGGAGACGTATACTGTGGTATATTTATATATTTTGCAGCAATGAAATGGAATGGAATGCTATAGAGCCATGAAAACAAATAAATTATAATCACATACAACCACTGTGGTGAGTCTTTGGAATGTAGTATTGAGGGGGAAATTACATAGCATACATACAGTCTGATGCCTTTATATAAAACTCAGAAACATGCTGAACTCACAGTATACTGTTTAGATATACAGACTTAGAAAGTTATCATGAAAACGAAGAGAACAAATGAAAGATGGAAGCTCAGAGGAGAGCGTGAAAAGAGGGCTCTGGGAAGAGGCACCATGGAATCTCAAGGGCAACAATCAGGTTTTTCTGTAACCAGCCTCCTTCCTGGTCTGTCTCCCTTCTTGGCCCAACTATTCACCACACAACTCTAAAAGAGAGCTTTTTAAAATGTAAAGATCTTACATGAGCTTATATCATCCCCCTATTTAAAAACTTTCAGTGGCTTTCCAGTGTTCTTATAACAGATAACAGAAATTTCTCACCGAGACCTGCAAGGCCCTGGATGGCCCAGGACCCACCTACCTACCCAAACTCACTGTAAATGCCTGTCTTCCTTGCTCACCACGCTGCAGCCACTCTGGCCTACTTCGTGTTCCTCAAATACTCTTCCTCACCTCAGGCCTTTGCCTTTACTCTCTCTTCTGCCTAGAATGTTCTTCCCCAGCTCCTTCTCTGACAGGCTCATTCACATCATCCAGACCTCAACCCAAATACCCTTTCCTCAAAGAGACTTTTCCAAAACGTTCTATGGTGGCTGGCTCCCCACCAGCTGCTCTCACACCTTGTTCACTGCCTTCACTGCACATGTCACAACTGACAATTACCTTGTCTTTCTAAATATGTACTGTGTGTCATACCAACCAGACTGCAAGCTCCATTAGAACAGGAATTTTGTTATGGTTTTTCATGTGGAATTGTGGTTGAATCCACAGCACCTGGCACAGCCACTATACCAAGAAAAGACTCAATATCTGTTTTAAGAAAAAACTGAATGCATGAATCAAATGTTGTAGAAACAAAAAAGCTTTTTAATTTTTTAAATGTTTATTCATTTTTGAGAGAGAGACAGAGCATAAGTGGGGGTGGGGGGCAGAGAGAGAGGGAGACACACAATCCAAAGCAGGCTCTGGGCTCCGAGCTGTCAGCACAGAACCCAACACAGGGCTCAAACCCACAAACCATGAGATCGGGACCTGAGCCAAAGTCGGACACTTAACCAACTGAGCCACCCAGATGCCCCGAAAAAAAGCTTTTTAAATGCACAAGTGAAATTAGTGATAGAAAAGGAATATTCTTTCACACTGAAGTTACTTCTATTTTCTAATTTAAGGATGAAGGCCTACTCCATATAGATTTCAGCACGTTACATATTCCATTTAGGATCGATACTCTTACATAAACTTATTATTCAATGTCAGACTAGAATCCAGAAGTTAAAAATATTCTACCATGCTACAGACACTGTATAAGAATAAAATTAGAGCATAAACCTGAAGAGTCAGTGTTACCCAGATTATGACAAACCCGTGCCTGGACTAGTTTCTGTTCCCTAGAAAGGAACCAACTCCTAGGAAAAGCGTTCACAAAGCTACGAGGAGCAACAGCGTGAGAGAGCCGGGCTGCCCCCGAACCACTCCGCACAGCCCGGGCACATGCGCAAGCCAGCAGGCCTGCGACTCCCCATAAGCCCCTGCGAGTCCCTTGCTGTTTGCTGTTTCGGCACTCCCAAGATTTGTGAGAGCTGACAACTATTACCAATAGGGCCAAATCTTAACAAAAGCAGTCTATCAATCGACAGACTCTCCTGGGGAAGCATCATTTAAGGAAGGTTCCTGCTCTGTGTGGAAGAAGTCTGGGGAATGAATATCCTACTCAAGTAGAAATGAAGGCACAGAGAAGACAAAATCTTCGTTTAATTTGCACACAATTATTAGACGTACCGCATGCCAGGCCCTGTGCGAGGCACTTGGAACTCCAGTCTGGCAGAGGAGACCGGCGACAAACAGTTACAATGGCACCTCACCTAACCCAGGAGAGACAGGAAAGGCTTCCAGGAGAAAATAATACCCAAGCTGAGATTGAACAGATGGATAGAAGGAAGCCAGAGCGTGGAGTGGGAGGAATAGGAAGAAGGATTTCCAGGCAAGAGGAACAACAGGCGCCAGGAAAAGAGAAAGTATGGCACATTCCAAAATGGCCCCACTCCAAGCATGGCGGGAGCAGGAGTGAAGGACAAACGACAGAGACAAGTACGAAGTTGTGCCATAAAGAGTCCAAAACTAAGGAATCTGGATTTTTATCTTCCAAGGGCTAGGGGAAAATTAATAGATATGAAACAAAGGAGAGACATGAGCAGAGATCTCTTCAGGAAAAGCAAACGGAGAGTCACATGAAGAGGAACATGGTGTAGGGATCAAAAGCAGACCTGGGTTGGAAGACGGGTGCCACTAATACTAGCTGTGTGGCCTCGGGCAAGATATTTAGCCACCATAACAGAAAAGAAAGTAAAAATACCTACCTCATCAAGTTGTTATGAGGACAGAATAACGCACATACAGAGTAACACAATGCCTGGCGTAATAAGTTGTGAAGAAATGTGGGCCGCAGTGATGACGGTAGCGGTGATCGCAAAGATGACGGTGAGGATGGTTATTACTGTTCAGAACAGATTCCGAAGGAACAAGGCTGAGGCAGACAAACCAGCTGGAAGGCCGTCACATTAACTAGACAGCAAAAAAGGATCTGAACTAAGGCACTGGCTGCAGAAATGAAGAAAACGAGCAAGAGTCTACTGATACTGAAGAGGAGGAGGTCCAGAAAACTTGGTGACAGCTGGATGTGACTAACGAGAGGGCGAAGTCCAGGATGAAGCCCACACTTCATGTCTCCATTTCCTCACTGCATAAAAGCATAACCAACTGAGGTCATCACTGGCTTCCACTGGCTAAACCCAGCAGGTGTTTGTGTGATCGTCATCTCATTTGCCCTCTTGGGAGCATTCAATACCACCCACTCCATGGCTTCTTGACCCAACAACTTCCTAGTTTTCCTCACGTCCCTCTGGTTGCTTTTTATCAGCCTTCTTTGAAGAGTTCTCCTCCTCCCAGCCAATAAGTTCCTCAAGGCTCCGTCTTGCCCCACACCCTCCATCCCCAACACTCTCCCCTCAGGTGATACTATTCACAGAACTTTAATCACCAGATATGTGAGGGCAGTGTGCAGATTTACCTCTCCAGAGAGCTCTTCACTCTCTCCTCAGCAACAGACCTACATACCCAACTCTCTATTTGACAGATCACCTCGGGGAAGTTGAAAAGGCCCCTGGAGCTCAACATATTCAAAATCAAATTCATCACCTTCCTCTGCAATCGCAGAAGTAAGCAAGCCGGGAGGCCAGGGGTATCAGTGATACCTCTTCTTCCTCAGCTCTCACTTTCAGAGCATCTGTAAGTCTTATCAAGTCACCTCCTAAACATCTCCTATACCATCCACGTCCCCCCGTCCCTTCCCCAACAAGTCTCGCCCGAGCCGCTAGAATCTATTTCTGAGCCCTGCAACGACCTTCAGCGGTGCCCTTGTAACCACATGGTCCCTGCTTCAATCCACTGCCTACCCTGCAGCCAGAGTGATTTTCAAAAGGTAAACTTGGTCATGTCACCCCTTGCTGAAAACCCTTCAGTGGCTTCCCTTTCCCTTTAAATAGGGCACACCAGGCTCCCCATGTCCTGGCCCTGTTTGCCTTTCTCATAACATGTTATGCCTCTCTCTTTGCTCTAGCTACTCTGGCTCTTGTTAGTCCTTGGCAAACACAGGCTCCATTTTTCCATGACGCCTTTACGTATGCCATTCTCTGCCTAAAAGGTTCTTTGTCCCCTTTCACTGTGTTATTTCTCATTCCTCTGGTAAATTTAAGCTCATGCTGCTTCCTCAGAGAAACATCTCTGAGTCCCCGTAAGTAAAATCCACCTTTATAATATGCTCTCACAGTATCGAGTACCTTCACTGCACTCATCATGATTGCATGGTTCTGTTTCTGGGAAGGTCTGATTCACACCTACTTCGACAACTTGATCGTAAATTCAAAATGGGCAAGGACCATGTCTATTCCTCCCTCACCGCTGTGACCTCTGTGCCCACAAGAGTCTCTGGCACATAGTAGGCACTCAATAAATATTTGTTGAAGGGAAGAACAAAGGAAATGACCAATGAGAAAAAAAATGATGCCCCTGAACCAAGGAAAAGCCAAAAGGGAGTGTTTTAAAAGAGATAAAGACTGAGACAGAAAAGTTTTTCAATGATTCCATTGACTCTAGAGATCTACCCTAAAGATCAGGTGAGGGACGAGAACGAGCTACTGATAATACATTTGCTGAATGTTGTATTAATCTTAACCACAGTGCAGTTCAAATTATATACAATATTTTAGTTCAGCCCTATTAATAAAGAATGTTCTACTCATTCTGTTTCCAAAAACGTTACACACTGGTGAAAAAGCCATTTTTTTCCTGAGGGGCTAAACGGACAGGATTGTTATAAAGAACACTAAAACTACTGATTACCTTCATCAATGTACCATGTGTTTTTTGATTTGGATTGTGGTTGTGAGTCAACAGAAGATCCATTTAGGGCATAAAATAATTCAGATCTGTTCCTATTTCCAGGGTCTGAGGTAGGTCCTATGGATCAAGAAAAGTTTCTTTTAAAAATCAGGTCAATATGGAGTGAAAGCTTTTCCCTAAGAGAAATTAACACACATACGGTGTTAACAGTTGCTGAAGAGCAACAGATATATACAAGTGCAACGTATTTTATTAGCGTCTTCAACTTTTAAAAATTTGGTAACCATTCTGGCAACGTCAAAAAAATTCTTCCACCCAAGAATCAATACAGGAGGGGAATGGGAATAAGTTAAAAGAAAAGCCTGCTATTTTTTTTTTAAGACAAACAGCTTTTAAAAATCATTTCACGTACTATGGTTTATTTCCAAATGTCAACAGCACCATTCCCCAAGTTCACCTGATGAACCTGTTGGCTCCCAAATTTAACTCATCATTTTAAAACGGTTCCTTTCAGAAGAAAGTGACCTTCGAACATTGTAGACATAAATCACTGCACGAATTGGGTTTAAAATTTTTTAATTTAAACAGTTTGGAATTCTCAGTCATCAAACTCCTTGCTTCGTTGCTTCATGTCTTTGAAAATAGGAAGCAGTATTATTTATTTCTATATTCGATTTATTAACATAAGAAAGAGCAAGTGTAGCCCCATTACAGACATTTCAAGATGTTACCCAGCCTTAGTACTAAGAGGACATGCTGTGAGAACACGGGAGCCTCCAGAAACCATACAAAAATCTGATTTTTTTTTTTCAATTTAAAGCAGATAGCTCTATACTTTATGCTTATAACTAAGATCTGCTACAACACAAGGAACACACATGTCTTCTGAAAATCTGTAGGCTATTTATATTCAAGTGAGAATAACAAGTGTGAGCTAGCCTATCGAGATCTACAGGTTAACATAAAAAATAACTATTACTGGTGTGTTCTATTTAATCCTAAGCCACCCAGGGTCCAGTGTCACATTAAATAACAATTTCCTTTAAAACAGGCCAAAGCAGTTTTGTTCACCAGAGGAAACGATATTCTTCTCCTAACCCACATCTGAGTTAACAAACATTCTCACAGCTTTTTAAATGAGCTGTTTCGCTTGTAGAACTACCATCCTCGAAAACTATAAAATATGTGGGAGCCAAAGAAAAACGCGAAGAACTCCACATGCGTTGTGAGGGAGTTTCTGGAAGAGAGACAAAAATTCTTGCTTGGCGGTTTGGAATTTAACTTGGGCCACATTTTGTTAGCGACAGCCACATAATTACTCTCTGTGTGCTTCACCCCATCTAACGTTATCCAGATGCGGTTCTTTTGTACAGTTGCGACTCTAAACTCAATGTTCAAATGTTACAAGGAGAGGGTCCCAAAAACCAGCTGACAGAAGCCAACGCGAGACACGGGTCCCCACGGAAAACTCTTCATCACCTAAAAAAAGGTTGGGTACTCTTGGCTTTGGCAAGAACCTCGATAAAAAACGTTTAGTAAAACACTAAGCCTGTTGGGAAGAAGAGAGTCTACATGTACAGTGAGGAGTCAAACCTTTTAACCTTCTTTCCATGCTATGGCAAAGCAGACCAAGTCAGTATCTAAGAACTACGGCCTGGTGGCCCATACCTGTAGCCTTTGGTTTATTATGACTGGATGAACCTTTGTCCGCAACGCCTCTTGACATAAAGGCAAGTTTGGGAGGCCTCCTTTCCTGTGTCACGTTCTCTGAAATGGTAAACGTGTTTTTTAAGGATAAAAGCAAATTCTTACAGAAGAGAAACAATGAAGCAAACAACGACAACAGCAGCCAAAAAAAATACCTCTTTCCTACAAAAGAGAGGCATTTCCACAGCTGTTTTACAAATTTTTTAAAGGTCGACAGAAGTACTGAAAGAGAACGCCAGAGGGGGGGTAAATAAATCGACACTGTACTTCAAAAAGTAACTTCTACAAAATATGACCCAAATACAATTCAGCTAAGTGCTTTAACGTCTTGGGGATTTAGTCGATCTGGTCGCTACTGTTGGATACATGGAAACACGACAGAGGCACCTCCGCTAAGTTTTTTGCAAGAGTCCCCCAGCTATCCCCAGTGCCCCAGTGCGCTGGGAAGTGTTCCACACTCAAGCACTTCTAGAAGATGCTGAGATAAACGAAGATAAGCAAATCTCTTTACCACATCACACCAGAAAATTTAATATGCTAATGTGTATTGTGAATCTCTCAAAGAGGCATAAACTTATTTGATAATATTTTTTGTCCCAGCCTACTTTAGCATCTCAGATTAATGTATTTCATGGAACACAGTCTGGAAAAAAAATCTGCTTAGAAATGTGCATCAGGGGGCGTCTGGGTGGCTCAGTCGGTTAAGTGTCCAACTTCGGCTCAGGTCATGATCTCACGGTTCATGGGTTCGAGCCCTGCATCGGGCTCCGTGCTGACAGCTCAGAGCCTGGAGCCTGTTTCAGATTCTGTGACTCTCTCTCTCTGACCCTCCCTTGCTCATGCTGTCTGTCTGTCTGTCTTTCTCTCTCTCAAAAAAAAAAGGAAAATAAATAAATAAAATAAAACATCACAAAAAATAATAAAATAAAAAAAAGAAATGTGTATCGGTTTTAAAAATCATGTATGTTAAGAATCACACTGACGAGTATACAAACATATATAAACACAAGAAAAACGCAGAGAAGCATACACAGGTTAATGATGAAGAAAGCCAGAGAAAAATGTCACTAATATTTTTGAAGAAAACGCTTGAAACTCCTTTTTGGAATATTAGGTATAATAAATTTAGCAAAATTGTTTTGGAGGCGTAGCTGACTCTAAGCCTTAAAGGCCAGTAATTTTCATGAGATAGTCACAAATCCTGATCAAATGAACATAAAAAAGCCAATCTGGAAAACTTTTCCCCTGGAAATTTCAACAACACATCTGCAAGAGTCTGACATGACACTTAGGAGTCATACCTGATAAAGCTGTGTATCAGCAAAACGATAGCACCCACAGTGGATTTTTGAGAACAGAAAGAAAAAATAGGACAATATTTACATTTTAAAGACAAGGCAAAGGCCATTTTGTTAGAAAAGGGAAATAATCCTGAATTAATTATATATAAATCGTGCTTGGTAACATATACAAATCATGGCAGGAGGGGGAAGAGACTGCAGTGTTAAACTATATCTTAAATGTCTCAGAATATGACCAAATGAAAAATGATTTTAATTCAAAAATTATACTAAATAACCATGATTTCAACCAGGTGATACAGTAAAAGCTATTTACATACTCTTTGATGATGTGCTATTCTAATATCTCCAAATATCACATATGAAAGCTACTTTGGAAGGTAAAATTTCTTAGTCACTAGCAGAAGTTCCCAATTGCAGCATTTAAGTTGACTAAAGCAAACTAATTCCCACTATGAACTGTAATTAGTTACACATAAGTCCATGTTCAAAAGATATGCACACACATACTATCCCCTCATACACGATATAGTCAGTGGTAAGTATAACAATGGCAGCAAATGGTTTTAACTGAGGCAGCCTAGCAGTAACAGGCCACATGGATGAGCCATTGGTGACCATGACCCTTCTGCTGGTGATTAGGGGAGGGCTCCAAAGACTAGGAACATGCAGAGTACTGGAATCGGAAATAGTAGTTATCTTCTGCCAAAGACTTTGTCTGAGAGAAGGTCAAGTACCAATTATGGGGAACAGATGTTCCTACAGACTTCTATGCAGATGAAGGGTCCCATGCCACATCTAACTTGCCCTCCAGTGGTGACATACCATCACCGAATATTGCTTCCTTGCCACTACTGTGCTCATGTTTCCAAACCAAAGCCTTCTACCTTGAATGGATCTTAAGACACTACCATCTCAGGAAAAAGTTAAGTATGGGAAAGGAAGGAAGATAAGGAATAAATTCAGCAGACAATTTTGTGAGATTAAAACAATTCTGCTTATGAGATATTAAAAGAGATGGCAGGTACAAAAATGTGCATAGCATCCTTATTCAGAATAACCAAAAGCTGAAACAATCCATTCTACAGCAAAGCAGTTAAACAAATTGTGATCTCTTCATACAAAATACTGCACAGCAATAAAAAAAAGAGAGAGAGAATAAACTACTGGAATACACAACACTGATGTTGTGCTGAGTAAAAGAAACCAGCTCAAGAGTAACCTTTACATGCACACAGCAGGGCTACATTCAAAATGATAAAAGTATATATGTATTCCCACAACAGCCAAGATATGGAAGCAACCTACGTGTCCACCAACAGATGACTGAATAAAGAAGATGTGATGCATGCGCACGCGCGCGCACACACACACACACACACACACACACACAAATATTACTCGGCCATATAAAAGAATAAGACCTTGCCGTGTACACAGCATGGATGGACCCAGAAGGATATTACACTAAGTGAAATCAGGCAGACAAACACAAATGCTGTATGATCTCACTTATATGTAGAATCTGAAAAAACAAAAAGAGAGCGAAACAGAAACAGAATCCTAGAAACAGAAAACTGGTAGTGGCGGGGGGCAGGGGGAGGTGGGCAGGCAAAATGGGTGAAGACGATTAGGGGGTACAAACTTTTTTGTAGTAAAAAAAAAAACAAATCAGAGAGATGTGAGGTACAGCATAGGGAATGCAGTCAATAATACTGTAATAACTTTGTATGGTGACAGATGGTAACCAGACCTATCATGGCAATCATTTTTTGTAACGTACAAAAATACTGAATCACTATCTTGTATAACTGAAACTAATATAATATTCTATATCAATTATAATTCAATAAAAAATTATAAAAGTAGCAGTTCATCCATCACTCTTGTTAATTTAATCAGAAATACCCCCCAAAAAAAGCCCTTGGAGAATCTTGGGTTGAAAATCATAACAATAAACTACTTAACAATAACAATCAAACCAATAAGAGATGTCTGTGAATGTGAATGACCCATTAAATTGAGAAAAATCACTTAATTGATGTGCTGCTTAACATCATCAGCCACAAGAGCATAATTCAGACCCAAATGAGAGTTTAATATCCACAGAGAAAGATTCTAGAGAAAATATAAGTTTACTTGGGTAAAATGAGGTATTATAAAACCAGATACCAAAAATGCTATATACATAGCAACTATACAAAGATCTCTAAGATGCAGGATCACTGATCAAAGTAAATGCTTTCCTCATATTTTAGATCATTTTACATGAAAACTCGTTGAGAAAGAAGCTGGAAGATCCCATCAGGTGACATCAGAGTTGCCTACGCAGGTCTAGTGCTTCAAATTAACCTTCTCTGGGACTGTGCCTCATATGAGCAGGAGTCCTGTCTGCATAGACAATATTTAAGGTGATTCAAATGGACAATCTCTATGGAAACCCATTTAGCATGATCTGTCAGAATGTAAAATATACATACCATTTGACCCAGCAACTCTACCTCCAGGAAGTGACCTTTTCAAAAAATACCTTATGAATATTTTAAGTGAATATGAACAAAACATATCCCATTTAAATACTCAGATGGGTACAGATGGCATGGTGTCGAGAGGGAGAAACAAAACATGCAAGGACAGAATTAGTATCCAAAACGATCTGAAAATGTTAGAAACTGCAGAACACTGATGACATGAAGCTTAACAGGGACAAAAGCAAAGTCCTGCTGATGGCTTCCAAATCAACCATACAAGCGTAGAATCAGAAGCTGAAGTGTGCATGAAAAAACAAATTGGGGACTTAAGTCAAGAGCAAGCTGAGTATTCACTAATTCACTGATTTATAAATGCATTCATTCATCTATCATGCAAAGAAGGCATTGCAGTGGCCTCTGGGAATATAATTCAGACTGTAACAGGACAGTCCCCGATTTTTTTTTGTTAATTTGTCAATAACAGCCATTAGCGCACATAATGGATTACACGATTCTATTTCCCTTTAGATGCCCAACTGTTAAAAAAAAAAAAAAAATCTTCAACGAACCAGGTCTCAGAGTATTGGGAAATCCTACCATAGCCAAATGGCTAAAATGACTCAAAGTTTTTAGGCTGGAGAACAGACGATGAAGGTCTCTGGGAGCTGAGGTTGCTATAAGGAAGAGGAGCTGCATTTGTCCTATATCTTCATCACCAGCGCAGGACGAGAAGCAAAAGCATGAAGCTGCCGGAAAGTAGATCTAAGCACACATCATACAAGGAGCGACTTTTTCACAATGACATCTGTCTAAAATGAAATGTCCTGATTTACTTTGGGAGACAGGGACTCTTCTCTAAGAAGATCCGGATAATAAGACAGGAGGTTATCTTTTAGCTCTACTGGAAGACATCGAAACTTATACACATACATGGAGTGTTATTCACTAAAGCACTGTTTATAAGAGCAAAAGATTAAAAACAACCTAAATGTCCATCAGCAGGGGGCTGGTTAAAAAAATTATGGCACGTTCATAAAATGAGATACACTGCATAAATTACACAGCAGATTAAGTATGCAATTCATGCACTATTCTACTGTTAACTTACAATAACAGAGGCAACTTCCACTTCTGGGAAAATGAGTAGACATACTTTTTCCTACTCCTCATGATAAGTACAACTAAAAACTCAGGACATAACATATAAAATCAGTTTCTAAAAAGGTGGAGAAGAGAAGGCAGACCCAGCTAAGGAGCTTCAGATCTGAAGAACAACATGGCAGCGAAT